CTCTCTCTCTCTCTCTCTCTCTCTCTCTCTCTCTCTCTCTTAATTTGCCCTGGAACTCACTCTGTAGACCAGGCTGGCCTCAAGCTCAAGAGCTCTGCCTGCCTCTGCCTCCTGAGTGCTGGAATTACAGGCATGCCCCACCACACCTGGCTTTAACAATTTTTCTGTTTGTTTTTGTTTGTCTGGGTTTTTTTTTTTCCTGCTCTTTTCTTTCATTCTATTTTTTTTTTTTTTTTTTTTTGAGAAAGAGAAAAAAGCATGAAGTTGTATGGGTAGAGAAGTGGGGAGGACCTGGGAGGGGTTGGTGGAGGGGAAAGAATATGCCCAAAATATATTGTGGAAAAAAAACACAACTTTTTAATAGAAAAAAAAATTTAAAAGTCCACACCTGGGGGAAATGGGGAAGTCTAAATTGAACACAAAAACTCTGGCTGATTTTGATTTTTCTCCCTTTAAATTGTGGTTTCTGCAGCTCCACAGATGAACCTAATACATATGAGACACTCAAGTCTTAAAGAACACAAAGCTTACTGCCAACATGCAGGGTGAGTGTTAACATCAGTGCAGCCATGACAGGCTGCAGACTAACAATACTGGGACTAGGCCTCACCATTAAACCAGGAAAAGCCACAAACTGCACCCTGTGGTGGGCCAATCAGAATTGAGACAAACAAGTACTAGATGCTCCAGAACATAAAGGATGGCTTACATCACGTGTATATAAATTGCCAATTTCCTTGCAGCGACACCAGTAACAATCCCTGTTGGACAAAACTTCTGTTGCCCACCTCCTGCCCAGTCAGGAGTTCAACCCCCACCTGAATCCAGAATCCCCCTCCCCTCCCCTCCCCCCATCCTTTACTCCTTAAAAACACTGCCTCGACTGAGCTCAGGGCTCTCTCTGATCTAACCACGGTGACAGAGAGCCCAAGCTCAAGCTTGCAATAAAGGCTCTTTGTTTTTGCATACAAACTCGGGCTCCTGGTGGTCTCTGGGGAGCTCATGACCTGGGCTTAACAAGTGTCAGGTGCCTGCATTCTAGCAACCTCTTCTTCTGCCCCTCACAATTGAGCACAGGTGGAATACTCACCCCGACACTCGTCCAATGCCCGTAATGATGCCACCTGCAGGGACTTCCTCGTCGCCGTACAACTGGTAACCTGCAAACTGGGAGAACTCCAGAAAGGGAGACCTAGAGGGAAGAAAAGGATGTTGTCTAGATTAAATGTCTGTATTTAAAAAGTTACACATAAGAATGGAAAGGTTTGTTTTAAAACAGGGCAGCATTTCCAATATGCATGTTACACATAAAAACCTACAAAAAGATTTCTAAAATAAGACCTGACAAGAATGCCATAGGAATTTATGGGGTACAACCAGGTAGCAGGCTACAGTAAAACGCTGGCACTTACTGTTCAAGTGCTGTGCAAATGTGTATATTACCACAGAAAGGGAGTAAAAGGGACCATCTGCCATCTGCCTGGCTCTCTTCTGTGGGCTTCATACACACTCACTCATTTGCTAACAAGGAAACCAAAACTCGGTCACCAGCCTAAGGTCACACAAGTTGTAAAGGGCAGATCTGGGGTTTCCATAAGCAGCCCGTCCCCAGGAACCAGGCTCTTATCCAACACTGAACTGTCCACTTTCACTTACCCATGTGTTCCAGATACAACCGGGGGAAAGAGGCCTAGAATGCTAGATTTGGTAAGATTGCTTTCTGTTTTACTAACGCAGGTGCCTGATACATATCTGCATAAGAAGGAGCTAAAAGAATATATGCTAGGGGCTGTAAGAAGGTTCATCAAGTAGAAGCACTTACAGAGGCCTGACAACCTGAGTTTGGTCCCTGGATCATGTCAGATAGCCGAAAAGTGACTCCTGAGAGCTGTCCTCTGACTTCTACACATGTGCCATGACACACAGGCACCCGGGCTCACCCATGCATGCTCTCATACAAATACGATGTCATAAGAAAGAAATCTAGTGGCCTAGAGATACAGCCCAGCCGGGACAGTTCTTACCTTGCACGCACAAAGGCCTGGGTTCAATGCCCAGCACCACACTAACCGAATGTGGTGGTGCACACCTGTACATAACCCATCCCTAGGGAGACAGAGGAGGGAGGATCAGAAGTTCAAGGTTGGGCTGGGGCTGTATCTCAGTGACAGTGTTCTTGCTTAGTTTGGGTGAAGCCCTAGGTCTAATCTGAAATACTTCCAGGGGAGGGGGGCAAGTTCAAGGTCCTCAGCTATACAGTGATTTTGAAGTCAGCTACATTTGAAGACCCTATCTTAAAATACAAAAACCAAACAGGAAAGAAAAAAATATCTCATGCACACAAGCAACTTGTCCCTTGTACCCCATGACCCATCCTTCAGGAAATCTACCAGTCAACTCTGTACTGTCTGTCATACACCCAGAACCCCCCATGCCTGCCACTCAGTCCACACCCAGCACAGCAGCCAGAGAGCAGCATCTTTAAAAACAGTCACACGTCATGAGATGATCCAGAAGAAGCTGTGGGGTGACTCTGTCTCTCACAGAAACAAACAAACAAGCCTATATTAATACAAACTAAGAAAGTGCAATGTCACCAGGCAATACAACCTTAAGTACCTAGTACCGGGAATGTCATCACCCAACACGTGACTTAGAAACTCAACAAATCCTGTTTCACCCCTACTGTAGCTCCCCTTTGCTGAGAGTCAGAACCTATAGCCGCCAGGTCCTCCCGAACCAGAGCCCACCCCCTGCTCTTCTCCCCCCACACCATTTGCTTCAGCTCCATGGGCTTCCTGGACACGGCTCAAACACACCGAGCGCGCTCTCTCTCTCTCTCTCTCCCTCCCTCTCTCTCTCTCTCTCTCTCTCTCTGCAGGGTTTCTGCACCGGTGTTTCTTTTTCCCACGACACTTGTCCCATTCTAGTATGCTATACAATTCAAGATGCTGACCGCTATTTCCGATCTCCCGCTGACCTTAGGGCAGAGATGTCTGTCCACATCATCCCCTGTTTCATTTGCCCCAATCTCTCAATAGATGTGTGATGGGTGCTCCCTGAATCCTATAAGAATCCAATTTAAAACCACCTGTTGTGGCCGGAGAGATGGCTCAGTGGTTAAGAGCACTAACTGCTCTACCAGAGGACCTGGGTTCGATTCCCAGCACCCACATGGTGGCTTACAGTTATCTGTAACTCCACTTCCAGGGGACCCAACACTTTCACCCAAACATACATGCAGCAAAACACCAATGTGTATAAAATTAAAAAAAAAAAAAAATTGTTGACGGGACTGTCCAGTAGGATACGCTGAGGTTGCAGTCGATAATACCAACCCTGGGTCTATGAGATTGTCGATTCTGTCTCTGGGTAGCAGTTTTCCTCTGGAAGTATGCCGGGCCCGGGCTTTCTCGCTGCCTCCTGCAATAAAATCATGATTACATTAGAGCAGATAGACATGAGCTAGGCCTCCATCTCACCTAATGCTAGGAACACATACAATGCTCCGCTCCAAACATGGCGGTTTAAAAAAAGGTTCAGTGGGCCAGGTGGTGGTGACACACTCCTTTAATCCCAGCACTTGGGAGGCAGAGGCAGGTGGATCTCTGTGAGTTCAAGGCCGGCCTGCTCTACAGAGAGTTCCAGGACAACCAAGGGTACACAGAGAAACCCTGTCTGGAAAAAAAAACAAACAAATAAATAAATAATAAAAGGAAAAATACAAAAGGTTCTGTGAGAAAAGGGCTAATTCTTTTTTGTATATCACTCAATATACCAGATGTCAGTTTTATGCAGTAAATAAACTGAGTTTTTAAGTGGCATATGCATAAATCACACACACACACACACACACACACACACACACACACACACACACACACGGATCTGGGGAGACAGTTCAGTCAATCAGTTCCCGCCATGCAGGCATGAGGACCTGAGTTTGGGTCTCCAGCATCTGTGTAAAGCCGGGCACGGTAGCATGACCTCTAACCCCACACCAATGGGCTGATACATCCTGGAGCTCACTGGCAAGGCAGCCTATCTGAACTGATGAACTCCAGGTTCAGTGGAAGACTCCGTCTCAAAAACTATGGTGGACAGTGACAGAGAAAGAGACGATGTTAACCTCTAGCCTCCACACACAAATATGCGTGTGCACCATTCCCCCTCGTGTGTGTGTGTGCATGTGTATGTGAGCGCTCGCACATATACACACATACATACACCAGATGTACATGTGCATAGGCACACACACTAATCTATCCCTGATCCTCAAGGATATATCATACATGTTCTAAATTCACTAGTAACTGTCCAAAGGGGTGGCATGCTATTTTCCTTAGAATTCTGACACTACAATATCATCTCATTGCCCCACGTGTACTAAACATGTACATGCACCACACTGTACGTGTGAACATCCGGATTCTGCCTTTGGACTAGGCAAAAGTCTAGCTTTGGACATCCCCTCCATGCTTGGCATGTGCAGACTTGCGGAAAGGTGCCATCAGGTCTGCACACGAGAAAGGTGAAACCCCGCCACAGTGATTACCAGGTCCCCTTGGAAATATCTTGACTCAGAGATGATCTTCTGTGATTCCCAACATTGCCCAAATCTTGACAAAATTACACTAACCCAAGAGCAGGGCAGCTGCTCCAGTCAGGCTTCTTGAAGCCAAAGGAGCACCCAAGGCTCACTACCCAGCCTGCAAGCCAAGACATCTGTGATGAGTGTCTGTCTACCCCTGGCTCTGAGCAAGCCACAGCAATGGAGTGGGAGACGCATCAAGCTGCCAGAAAATGCTTTTTACTGTTGCCCACAAATGTATCTTAACACAGCCTCTGCCTAATAAAACAGTCAACAATTTTAAGAGTACCATTTCTTTGTTGATTGAGATAAGAAATTATGTTCATACCCATTTCAAACAAGCTTCTAAATAACCCTTATTTTTCAAATCAGGGATCTTGGCTTGGCTGCAAGAATACTTCTCTCTCTCTCTGTCCTTTTTTTTTTTTTTTTTTTGTTTTTTGAGACTAGGTTTCTCTGAGTAATATTCCTGGCAGTCCTGGAACTTTAGGCTAGCCTCGAATTCACAGAGATCCACCTGCCTCTGTGTGGTGATATTGTGTTCCCCAAAATATTGTGCACCCTAATAAACTTATCTGGGGTCAGAGAACAGATCAGCCACTAGATACAAAGGCCAGAAAATGGTGGCACACACGCCTTTAATCCTATCACTTGGGAGGCAGAGATCCATCCGGATCTCTGTGAGTTCAAAGCCACACTGGAAACAGCCAGGGATGGTGACTCACACCTTTAATCCCAGGAAGTAAGTCTTTAATCCCAGGAAGTGATGGCAGAAACCAGAAAGGTATAAGGCGTGAAAACCAGGAACTAGAGCTGGTTAAGCTTTCAGGCTTTCGAGAAGCAGTTCAGCTGAGATCCGTTCTCAATGAGGACTTAGAGGCTTCCAGTCTGAGGAAACAGGATCAGCTGAGGAACTGTTCAGGTGAGGAAGCTGTGGCTTGTTCTGCTTCTCTGATCTTCTGGCATTCACCCCAATACCAGGCCCTGGGTTTGTTTTTATTAACAAGACCTTTTAAGATTTGTGCTACACCTCTGCCTCCCAGGTGCTGGAATTAAAGGCGTGCGCCACCACCGCCCGGCTCACAGAAAATTCTTAAATCTACTTTTAGGTTACCAAGAAAACTATATCACAAATTATTTCTTTTTTCAAAATGAGTTAGTTGCAAGATAGTAAGATTAAAATTGCCTTTTCTCTTCTCCCAACTACTGGTCAAGTCCCTAATGAGGTGTGTTTGGGGTGGGGAAAGGGATGAAGGCATTACAAAGAACAGAAGTTCTAGGGGATGCGACCTTGATTCGGGTGTTGCTATGTGGGTCAACCTCATACTTTAATGCAGCGTATTGCGCACACTAATTTACTTCAATATTGAAAAACAAACATAAGGACTGTCCATGTGATTTTTAAATAAAGAAAGCAAGAC